GCAAGAGCAACGTCAATCTCAAGACGATTGCGATTCTTCCTGTCACATCCGCGGTGCCCGTGTCCGAGTTTGCCGAGCGGCTGCGCGCGGCGTTGGAGCTCATCGGTGCGTCCGTGGCCCTCTTCAACACGGCCACAATCATGGCCAAGCTCGGGAGGCACGCGTTCTCACGGCTGGGCAAGCTCAAGTTGGTCAGCTGGCTGTCGGAGCAGGAGGAGAATTACAGGATCTTGCTGTTTGTCGCCGATTCCGGTGTGAGCTCGCCGTGGACGCAACGTTGTGTGCGGCAGGTACTATTTTTAAGTTTTTTTCTCGAGGGAAAGTTGGGGGAGGTTTAGGGCCTGTTTGTTTGGATGTTTTCTTTTCCTTTCTTTTTTTTTTTCTTGGCTGTTAACTCCAATCCATTCCCGTTCCGTCAATAGGCCGACAGTATCCTGTTGGTCGGATTGGGCGACGAGGACCCTGCGATTGGCGAGTACGAGCGTGTCTTGATCGGGATGAAGACGACGGCGCGGAAAGAGCTTATTCTGCTCCACAACGAGCGATACTGCGTTCCGGGCAGCACCGCAGCATGGCTCAAGAACCGCCTGTGGATCCACAGCCACATGCACGTCCAGATGGCGGGGTCGTCGTCCCGCACGCTGGCCGACTCGTCGCGCATGAACACCATCACCAACCTGCGGAACCACTTTGAGCGGTACTACACGCGGGCGATCAACGGCGCCGGGTTTTCGTTTGACGAGAGCCGCGCGCCCAACATCCAGACCGGGATCCGGTCGGACTTTGCGCGATTGGCGCGTCGGCTGCTTAACAAGTCGATCGGGCTGGCGCTCGGTGGGGGCGGCGCGCGCGGCATTGCGCACATTGGCATCATCAAGGCGTTCGAAGAGGCCGGGATTCCGATCGACATGGTCGGTGGCACAAGTATCGGGTCGTTTGTGGGCGGGATCTACGCGCGCGAGTCGGACCACGTGAGCTTGATGGCGCGGGTCAAGACGCTGTCGCACAAGATGACGTCCGTGTGGCGGTCGCTGATGGACATTACGTACCCGACGGTCAGTCTGTTTACGGGGCACGAGTTCAACCGCGCGATCTGGACGACTTTCTACGACAACCACATTGAGGACTGCTGGCTGCCGTACTTTGCGGTGACGACCAACATCACGGACTCGCGGATGGAGATACACCGGTCGGGGTACATGTGGCGGTACATCCGAGCGTCCATGTCTCTGTCGGGGTACATGCCGCCGCTGTGCGACGACGGCAAGATGTTGCTGGACGGCGGTTACCTCAACAACCTGCCGGCGGACGTGATCCGCAGCCTCGGGGCGGAAAAGGTGATTGCGGTGGACGTGAGCGTGGCGGACCACACGGACCCGGTGACGTACGGCGACTCGCTGAGCGGGTGGTGGCTGATGGCGTCCAAGTGGTTCCCATGGGCGACCGGGTCGTACGGGCAGATCCCGACGCTGCCGGACATTCAGTCGCGCCTGGCTTACGTCAGTAGCGTCAAGCAGCTCGAGGAGGCAAAGAACCTGGTTGGCAGCCACTACTTGAAGCCGCCTGTCACTGGGTTTGGCATCATGCAGTTTGACAAGTTTAAGGATATCTTGCAGGTGAAGTTTTTTTTCTGTTTTTTTTTTGGATCTGTGTGTGTGTGTGTGTGTGTGTGTGTGTGTGTGTGTGTGTGTGTGTGTGTGTGTGTGTGTGTGTCCTACCTTAAGGGAATTGCGCGCGCGAGCGTGCCAGCGTGAGTCGAATACTGGCGACTAAACCACAGCAACCCCAACAACAACCAAAAAAAAAACCACAAAACTATCAGGTCGGGTACAAGTACGGCAAAGAGACTGTGCACAAGTGGGAAAAGGACGGAACGCTGGAGCGCGACTTTGGCGTTGCGGTCGGCAGCAAGGGCGGCGACCGCCGCAGCGGCCGCCGTGCGAGTATCTGAAGGGTTTGAGCGCGCGTGTCTCCGCGCTCTTTCCCAGTTTGCTGCTCTCTCTCTTGATATCAAACCTCTGTTCTTTCTGATGCTCCCTCACACTCTCTCGCACACTCTCCCTGCTGTTCTCTGCTCGCGAGTGCCTATTACATTTGAGCCAAGACCATCATATCATTCTCCTTAAATTATTCTTATCCCCTCCTCCATCTGCTTACCTCTGTCTCTCTCTCTCTCTCTCTCTCTATCATCGCTGCTAGTTATATCCTTTATATCTCTCTGATCGTCTTTCCCTCTCTCTGGCCCCTATTTTCTCTTCTTCCTTGCTCGCTCCAAGCGGCCCGTCCTTTAGTTGTTTTTCCCCGCCTCGTTGTTTGCCATTGCCTGCCTTACTTGCTTGCATATGCTTGCATGCTTGCAGCGACCTCGTAAGAAGACCCACCCCCTCTCCTACCAGCCGCCGCACCGCACAGGGCAGGCACACGTTTTGTTCCCTTTTCAAATTACAATCCTCGATCTCTTTTAATGTTTTTTTTCTGAAACCTCCCTTTTTTTTTTTCCTTCCTTTTTTTTTTCGTTTCGTCCGCGCGTTGTGTTGTTCTGTACTAGAGCCGCTGGCACACAGGCCTCTTTCTTGTTTTTTGAATTCTTCGGCGTCTCGATTATGGTTTTTTTTGTTTTTTTTTTTTTTTTTTGGTTTTTTCGCGGAATAAACAAGAATATTGCCTTTTTGTTTAGTTTTGTCCTGCTTTTGACAAAAAAAAAAAAGGAAAGTGGTGCATCGAGCACCCTGCGCAGAAAGAGGGTTCGCCGGGCTTCTCCGATTTGCTTGAGACTGAAGGGGGCGGACGCAAAGAAGGAAGGAAGGCCAACATCAAAAAAAGAGAGGGCTCCTTAACGTGACCCAAAGAGGGAAAGTTCGGTAAAAAGGCCGCAGCGTGGGCTCCAAGACTGCTCAAAAATGAAGGCGGCAATCTGGCGAAAGGGAAAGCCGCAAAGGAGAAAGGCGTCGGTAAAAAAAAAAAAATGGGGGGCTCGTTCCGTCCAACCGCGGAAGCAAAGAAGACGCGAAGATATCGTTATTGAGAGTTTTTTGTAACCAGTTCGTAGTACCTCGAAATAGTATCACTGGTGGGGATCCAATCCCTTGCACTTTTGCGCATATCCACGCGAGCTATACTGGTGTGCTTTTATATCTGTGCACGCCAGTTCTGGGCAAAGCTCATTTACAATGTCTGCTTCATTGGTCCATATGTGGTTTTGTTATCGAGTTTTGTTCTTTTCGTGTCTGTCTCATCCTCTCAAGAGGGTTTTGCTGGTGCCATGTGGCTGTCTTGTCTCCACCGTTGGCGGACTTCATGCCCTTCTGTTGGCGAACAGCGGGTTGTCAGGACGGGTTGTCAGGGCTGGAGCTGAGGTAAAGCAATTTGGTCAGAGCGTCACTGGGCCCAGGCCTACTGAGGATGTGGGCTTACCGCTTTGGACACTGCGGGACGCCCCGGAACCCCATGCGTTGGGTAGTGCTACGGTAGTCAGCTACGTCTGTGACTGGAGGTCACGTGGCAGTCAGGTGACTCGTGGGAGACGAGCATCGTGTGGGAAAGAAAAAAAAAAAAAAAAAAAAAAAAAACCCACCACATTTGGCAAATCCCAAACATCAAAGGGGCGGTCAAGTGCCAACACCTTCATGGGGCAACACAAAGGATTCAAGAACTTTTCGAGATTTAGCGCAAAGCCAGGCCTCAATTTACGGCAGTTTTCAGCAAAACTGGTCCGAGCGTCATATAGAAAAAAAAAAACAAAAAAACAAAAACAGTGGGTTTGAATCCGACTTTTTTCAATTTTGCTATACATGTTTGTTTTTCTTTGCGTGCTCGGTCCACGGCAGTGTTTAACCCCGGTTCAGAACCGGTCATTTCAAAAGATTTGGACGAATGCCTCGATCTGAATCCTTACCATCAATTAAACTGGTGATTTTAACGGAGTGTAGAGGGCTGTACATACGTAGCAGGAAGCAAAACTGTTAACCATCTATAGATAAAGACAGAGTGGTCACAAAGGTGGCCAACAAAGGGGCCTTGGTGTGGCAAAAGTGACTGTTGGAACAGGACATGTAGCGCCTGACTCCCTCCCGTTTACTGCGCTGCTGGCGCCATGAAGGGATGGGTCTGAATCCTTAGGATTCCCTCGTCACTCTCCAGATCAAAAACTGAACAACAATCGCCGTTTTTTATCGCAACACTGTGGGGCTGGCTGGTGAACACGTCACGACACTCCCACGGTCTGTCAAGGTATTGTCATCCAGCCTATTTTGCACTTTTTTCTTCTTTTTTTTCGCTTTTTGCTGTGTATTTTGGAGCATTTTTGATCTTTGAAGATGTGAACAAATGTGTTATAAATCACCCTCTGGAAGCCTCTGGAACATTCTAGAACATTCCTTCATGGAACCTTCTGGAACCTTCTGGAGCCTTCTAGAACATTCCTTCATGGAACCTTGTGGAACCTTCTGGAACCTTCTTTGCTTTCCTGACTTGTCTTGTTGTCATTGGTATCATTGGTATCATTGTATTACTAATTGCTCTTTCTGGAACTTTCTTTGAGTCTTGACAAGGAAGACTCTCAAAAGGTATAAAAGGGGGATGGGGGACCTGTCCCATCCCTCAAGTGAATTATTGTTTCCAATACAATCATCACTCCTCTCAGTTCCTTGTCTGCCTTGCCCTGTCCTGCCATGTTCCTGACAAAATGAAACTTCCTTACTGCATCTTTGTGCAAAAAGCAGACACAAGGCTTGGAGCCAGGAGAGGTCTCAATTTGTCCTCTACCAAAATCTTGATGCATTGAGAGACTGGATGACAATAAAATCCCAGTTCGCCAGAAAGCCTTTGGTGGGAAAAACAAGACATGCAAGCTGTGTGGAAGACTGCCAGTGTGCAGGCTGTGATAATTCAAACCATGATTACTCTGCAGATGTTGGCCCAGCGGAAGGGAGCAGATAGTTTTTTTCAACCATACTTTAGAGCTTACAGAATTTTATTACAATTAAGATGGTCCATTACTAACCCGTGTAGCAAAGTGGTATTGCGTCTCCCTTCTACAACTCGGGTGAGACAGGAGAAGGTCCAGGGTTCAACCCCCTGCATGGGTGTTGGGTACCTTCCATTTATTTAAGGTGGAAAACTAGCCTTGCGTTTGACCACGTTTGTGTTTCCTTCTCACTGGTGACAACGGAGTTATCCATTGTAATACGCTGGCACTCTCACAATGCCAAGGCCCAGTTCATGGGTTCACCTTGCTCCAAAGTTAAGCAAAAAGTCCGTTTTTCGCTCTACTTTGGAAAAATGGAACAAAATGAATCCACACATGGAATACCCTGTTCCAAACAGCCAAAAAAAAAAGACCCATTGGAACAGGCTGGTGAAGAAGTATTATTTTTCAGACAATTCCCACACGAAACTTTTTTGCAATGCCCTCTCATCTGTATTCTTCGCCCATTCCCCCCACTCTGTTGAACCGCTGAATCACAGCTTTCACCGCATCCCTTTCTTATTTTTTTTACTAATTAAAGTCGCCAATTTTTTAAGGCTCAAATAGTGGTGATATGTCCAAAATCTCAATTAACATTGAGCGCGTACAACCCTGGTGAACTGGGCCGTACAGCTAAGATCTCATTGCCATCTCAAAGTCAACATGCTCCTGGTGATGAGAGGAACTAGATAATGTCGGCTTTTTTCGCAGTGGATGGTCATTGGAAGGAGTTGTTTTGGGGAAATACACCTTTAATTCTGAATTTTTGAATTTTTTTTGCTGACCTGCACTGTATTCGCAAAAAAGTCTGGCCTCGAGATAGCTGCGCCAATATTTCTATGTGCCAATAGAAGCATGTGGGGTGCTTTTGTTCTTGGTGTTAAAGCCCTCCTGGCTTGCAGGAGGAGGCCCAGCTTGCTGGAGGTGTTTTCAAAGTTTCGTCATGATGGTAGGACAGAGGACGATTGATTACGTCCTACCAGTAGGACGACGACTGTTGAAGTTGCAGTGTATAAGGCGACGTTGTGAGTGGAGGCGGAGCCGCAAGAAGGTTGAAGGGTTGAGGAACTGAGGCTTGAATTGAGAAAATGTGGGCATTCAAGGGGATGGCATCACATCACAAAATGATAGCTTGAAAGAAGGCCTGACTTCAGCTCAGTGATGTTTTGATTTATTTTATTCTTTTCATTTTTTTTCTTTGTGACAGCAGTACCAGCTGTTGGAAGTTGGCCATCTCTATTCTTCTGGTAAGTTTTTGTCTGTGAGGATTCCAGTAGTTTGCAGGCAATTTTTTTTTTTTGGAGGCCACGATGGATAAAAACATTCACCCGCAAGAACATCATTGTTGTTGTTGGTGGAGAGAGAGACAGAGAGAGAGAGAGAGAGAGAGAGAGAGAGAGAGAGAGAGAGAGAGAGAGAGAGAGAGAGAGAGAGAGAGAGAGAGAGAGAGAAAGAGAGAGAGACAGGTCCGGCGTTGGCTTTTTGTTCTCCAAAGCAGCCGGAGGAAGCCGGACCTTGAAGCCTTCGGATTTCCTAACCGAAATAAATTTTTGTTGGGGGAAACAATAATACAAAAGAAGAAAGATTTTCCTCCCGATTCGGTTTGTTATGGGGTCGGTCACACACAGGAAGGACAGGATCGAAGCAGACACGCTCGGACTGACTGACTGCACGTACTTTCCTTTCTGGCTCTTTATTCCCTTTTCGGGGCGGGCGCTCCAAACTGTCTGTCTGTCTGGCAGTCAGTCAGTCTCTCAGTCAGTCTGCCTGTCTCGATCGCTCTCTCTCTCTCTCTCTCTCTCTCTCTCTCTCTCTCTCTCTCTCTCTCATTCCGTCTGTCCCTTTCACTCTCACCCTCTCCGACTCAGTCGCTCGCACGCGCACACACGCACCACACTCACTCACACACACTCCACACTCTTCACACACTCAACTGTCTCACGACGACGTGGGTAAGAGTCCGGCCGGCGCCGACGCCGCCGCCGCCTCCCTCCTCCTCCTCCTCCTTTTCCTCCTCTTCCTCGGCATCCTCGTCGCCCATTCCCCCTCAGCCTCCCTCCCCTCCCTAAGAACAAGACAGGAAGAAGAAGAAGACGAGAACGGTGACGTCGACCGACAGATAACGACGAAGGTTCCTCATTCAGCTTCAGCACACACACACACCCACACAACACGCACCACGCTCTCTCTCTCTCTCTCTCTCTCTCTCTCTCTCCACCGGCCCGAATCGGAGTCCCTCTGACTCTCTTTGCCCCCCCAAAAGGACAGGCACACCCCGACAGCAGCTGCAACAACAACAACAACAACAACACCCCGATCGATTCACCGGCAAAGGCGCTGGCTCAGGGACATCCCAAGGAAGCATCAACGAGCGCACATAGAAGCGGGAGGGGAAGTGCGGGGGCCAGCGACCCTTGATTTTGGGCACTTCGGGGCACGCGCGACTAGAATCTGGCAGGCCACCATCGCTTCCAGCGAAACGATGACGCTCGTCGTCATGCCCACCGGCTCGCACCTCGTCCAACCACACCAACAACAACAAGAACGCCACGGCCAGCCCAACCACGCACAATACCAGCACAAACAGCAGCAGCAGCGGCAGCAGGAGCAACGGCACACCGCACGGACGACGCCGCATCCCCCACACCCAGCACCATCGCACTCGCGACCTCCATCCGTGTGGCCCCCATCGCAGCCACTGTCGCAGGCACGGCGCAGCCGTCGGATAGACGGCGCCGCTTTCCTCCACCACCATGACCGCAGCGCTCGGTTCACCGTCCACTCCGCCCCCGTCCATCCCCTCCTCCCCCTCCTCCTCCTCCTCGTCCTCACCACACTCACCGCCCTCCTCCTCCCCTCCCCCACCGCCGCCTACGACTTCCAACCGGGCAACGACGGCGCCGTGCAATGGGCGTACGGCTGCGACTTCCTCGACCTCCCCGCAGACCCGATCGTGCACAGCGTCGCGGACCCGGGCTGGCACTGCGGCCTCGCGTGCGTGCAGTACGCCGGCTGCACGCACTTCGCGTGGCAGAACCGCACCGCGACGTCCGGGCGGTGCTTCCTGCACACGGCCGCTTCCGCGTACTTTGTCGACAACAGTGGGTCGGGCGCGTTTTGCGGGTACACGGTGGTGGGGTTTACGATATTGCCGAAGCCCGCGGTCGTGCCGACCGCGACGCTCGCGCCGCCCGAGCCGTCGACGACGGTCGCGCAGGTCGAGACGTCGGTTGCGCAGAACCCAGGCGCGAACGTGCCCGTGACGTCGACGGCGACGGGGGTGGAGGCGGGACAGGGCGGCGGCGGTGATGGGAATGGAGGAAGCGGTGGTTCGACGGGAAGTGCGGCGTCGAGCGCAACGGCAGAGAGCTCGGTGGTGCTGACGGTGAGCAACGGCATCACGATCATGGGCCCGCCGCCAAAGTCGACGACCAGCTCCGGTGGTGCCGGCGGATCCAACGGCGGTGAGACAAAAATTTTTTTGTTGTCGTCCTGTCTTTCGTGTGTTGACGGTCTCCCCAATTGACCTTTCATCGACAGGCTCGGGCTCCGCAAACAACAACAACAACAGCAACCCCACCTCCGGCGGCAGCCCGCCGCTGGGCGGGTCCACCTCTACATCCTCCTCGCCACCGCTCGCGCTCATCCTCGCCATCGCCGCCGCCGTCCTTTCCGCCGCGGCGCTGGGCGTCGGCGTCGCACTCCTCCTACGGCAGCGGCGACTGCGTCGCGCCGGCGACGGCGGGCCGGACCGAAAGGCGTACCGCGTGTCGATCGCGTCGTCGGTCGAGTCCAACATCTTCCGGACGTCGTCGTCGGCGCCGGCGACCGCGGGGTCGGGCGCCAGTACTGCGCAGCGGTCGTCGTCGGCGTCGGCGTCGGCGTCGACGCCGACGTCGACGGGGTCGTTGGCGCGGTCGCTGGCAAGCCCGGACGAGGGCGGTGCGTCGGGGGCGGCGGCGGCGGCGGCGGGGAGGAGGTCGCTGTCGGTGACGACGCCGAGCACGAGGAGCTTTGGGGTGCTGAGCGCGACGAGCGTGTGAGGAATTTTAGATGGGGAGGTGCGGAGTAGTAAGCTTCGGGCGAGGAAGAGTAAGGAGAAGGGGAAAGAGCCTCTCTCTTATTTTCGTTTTGTTTTTTCGTTTTCTTTCTTTTTTTTTTGGTTTCCCCGTGCCACTACCTTTTTCATTCCTGTGTAGCCGCGACATCACCCCTCTGGCAGTTTATTCCCCCAACCCCTACCCGAAGAGCGCGTCCCCCAACACACTTTGCCGCTCCTTTTTTCTTTTCATCCCGTTTCCTATACTGTTAAAAAAGGGAAAGAACCTGTTTCCCTCTCTATCTCTCGTGCCTTCTTTCCCAAACAATATTGTTCTCCCCCTCCTTCACACCCAAGCGCCGCGCGCGGGAAAAAAAAATAGACGCCGTAACAATGTGTGTTCTTTTGATTTGGTTGAATAAAATGGAAAAGAGAACGAAAGAACTATGTTTTCGCGATGTGGAAGAAGTCATGGAGAGGGTAGCATAATGTATTTATGTACAAGGTATCATAGTGATCGAAGCCGCGGAGTTTGCTCCAAGCCTTGACGATTGAGAAGAACGCGAATCTTCCACGCGTCATGCAAAAAGGAGGCACTGTTCCCGACTGTCTGTCTGTCTGCCTGTCTGTCTGTCTGTCTCTCTCTCTCTCTCTCTGTCTGTCTCTGTCTCTGCCTCGGTCTGTGTTTGCTCTGGTCCCGCTGGTTCAGCCCGAGCCACGTCCTTCAAAAATCATCCTCGTCCCGCCACCAACCAACCAACCAACCACGCCGATAATGACGACGACCCCAACATCGCCGGCGCAGGCGGCGCCGTCGTCGTCGTCGTTGGCTCCTTCATCGGCGGCGGCATCCCGATCCTCGTCGGCCTCGGCCAAGAAACTGCGCCCGCCACCGCAACCACAACCACAAACACAACCACATCCACCACCACAATCATCATCGTCGTCGTCATCGGCAACACTACTCGTCCCGCCTCCACCGTCCCTCGCAGCCTCACGCTCCGTGTCGTCGTCATCCTCCCTTTCATCCTCCTCCTCCCACCTCTCTCGCACCCCCTCGCACTCCTCCGCCCTGTCCCGCG